GTGGAATATATTCTTCTCAGCAACAGCCTTCCTCAGGAAGCCTTTCCTAACAGCCCCAAAGTGTGACCTCTGTGTCACTTCTCTCATATCCTCAACACTGTGAGCAAGAATTGAGTCTCATATATTCCAGTGCCAACCAACTCAAAATAAGTGGTTAATACATGTTTATTGAAAACATATGTACAGATGCATTCTTGATAGTAGTCTGACACTATTGCCTAGAGAATCTGGTCCTATGCATTGGTACATACCAGCAGCATAGTAGCACATCATAGGAGGTTCTGTTAACCCTATGTCATCGAGTATAGGCATCAGAAGGAAGAAGCAGCAATTTTAAATTTTTCATTACTCTCAGGGAGAGAGCACCAATGTCCTTTGTGGGAATGACAACTGACTCTCTAAGGATAACCTGATCATTACAAGTTATTATAAGTTTGGGCAATGGCATCAGATACATCTTAAGTTTCATATTTTTTAGCAGATGCTTTCATGCTACCAGAGATGAAGAAAAAAAGCATTTGAGAAATTTGGGAATTTCCATTATGACAAAGTGAGAAATTCTTGTAAGTTTTAAGAGGTCAGGTTTTTTTCTCCCTTCCCATTATGAATAATTTCTAAATTACTTCATGAATATAGGAACTCAAATGAGCTGAATTTCTCAGTTGAGCTAATCATAAATGTCTCTCTTTTTCTTTTTTTTTTTTTGAGGTGAGTTTCACTCTTATTGCCTAGGCTGACATGCAATGGCATGATCTTGGCTCACGGCAACCTTTGCTTCCCAGGTTCAAGCAATTTTCCTGCCTCAGCCTCCCAAGTAGGGTAGGTAGGATTACAGGCACCTGCCACCATGCCCAGAGAATGTTGTATTTTAGTAGAGATGGGGTTTCTCCACATTGGTCAGGCTGGTCTCGAACTCCCGACCTCAGGTGATCCACCCGCCTCAGTCTCCCAAAGTGCTGGGATTACTCAGCTGTGAGCCACTATGGCTGGCCAAATCTCTATTTACTTCAGCAATTTGATATAGGGTTTTCCTACAAGGTGCAGTTCACATTTTAGTTGTCATTATCTTCAGACAAACTGAGCATGATACTCCCGTTCACAAAGATCTCATTGATTAATCTCTCCACGTAGTAAATATATTATAGAAGGAGAAAAAGATTTTGACAGTTGTTTTCGTTTGTTTGTTTTGAAAAGGACTCTCGCTCTGTCATCCAAGTTGGAGTGCAGTGGTGCGAACTTGGCTCACTGCAATCTCTGCCTCCCAGGTTCAAGTGGTTCTCCCCCCTCAGACTCCTGAGTAGCTGGAACTACAGGTGCCCACCACCAGGCCTGGCTAATTTTTGTATTTTCAGTAGAGTCGGGGTTTTGCCATGTTGCCCAGACTGGTCTCTAACTTTAGACCTCAAATGATTCTTTCCCAAAGTGCTGAGATTACAGTCATAAACCACCACACCTGGCCACAGTGGTTTTTCTTCTTATAGTCTGACACCAATTGGACAAGATTTGAAAGTGGCTATGATAATGACAAAAAGTTCGGAACTAATTGTTTGCTTCCCTGATCAAAGAAAAAGGGAAAGGGATTCTTTCAAGGGAGGGGTTTCTTTCATAATTCTTTTACTTAATAATTAATATCTTGCCAGGCAGTGGCTCATGCCTTTAATCCCAGCACTTTGGGAGGATGAGGCAGGTGGATCACAAGGTCAGGAGTTCAAGACCAGCTTGGCCAATATCCTTAATACAAAATATAAAAATTATTTGGGTGTGATGGTGCTTGCCTGTAGTCCCAGCTACTCAGGAGGTTGAGGCAGAAGAATTGATTGAAACTGGGAGGCGGAGGTTGCAATGAGCCAATATGCCACTGCACTCCAGCCTGGGTGACAGAGTGAGACTCTGTCTCAAAAAAAAAAAAAAAAATATATATATATATATATATATATATATATATACACGCACATAAAATATATATTTTTATATATATTATATAATATATATGTATACGCACATACATAATAATATCTTCTTGAGAAACCACCATCCAGGATTCATAATTAATTCATCAAACACTGATTGAGGATGTACAATTTGTCCTCATACTTTGTGATTAAGGGTATAGACACTCAGTGCCTGAAATTAAGGTCATGGTGTTCAAATGAACTTGATTTGTCTAGAGGATGGTAAGTGGTCCAGGGTGACTGGAACACATGAGGATAAGGCTAGGGAGATTGGTGGTGATGACGTTGTAAAGGGCTTTGTCTAACATGCTAAGGAGATTGGATTTTGCCCTGAGAGCAATAAGGAGAGCTCATGAGTAGGGGTGGTGTCATCATCATGTTTATTTTTTGTGGTGATAACTCCAGCAACCCTTGGGTAGATTGGACTAGAGATAGCATTAGTGATTAACATCAGGAGGGTCCTTTTAAGAAATGCTAAAAACCTAATTTAGGGCAGTAGATTGTGGATGGAGAAAAAGGAATTCCCAGCCAATTGGATGAGCAGAATAAGAGAGACAGAAGAGCTGAAGAAGAAGAGAAATTGATTCTAGTTTGAAAGGCTCAATGGACTGGGCATGGTGTCTAGTGCCTGGACACCCAACACTTTGGGAGGCTGAGGCAGGCAGATCACTTGAGACCAGGAGTTCGAGATCAGCCTGGTCAACACTGTGAAACCATCTCTACTAAAAAAACAAAAATTAGGCCAGCGTGGTTGTACACATCTGTAATCTCAGCTACACAGGAGACTGAGGCATGAGAATAGGTTGAACCCAGGAGGCAGAGGTTGCAGTGAGCCAAGATGGCACCACTGCACTCCTGCCTAGGTGACAGAGTGAGATTGTCTCCCCACCCAAAAAAAAAGAAGAAAGAAAGAAAGAAAATTTTTTTAAAAGGCTCAGTGCATTTTTTTTTTTTTTTTGAAATGGAGTCTTGCTCTGTTGCCCAGGCTGGAGTGCAGTGGCAAGATCTCGGCTCACTGCAACCTCCACCTTTCAAGTTCAAGTGATTCTCCTGTCTCAGCCTCCTGAGTAGCTGGGACTACAGGCATTTGCCACCAAGCCCAGTTAATTTTTTGTATTTTTAGTAGAGATATGGTTTCACCCTGTTAGCCAGAATGGTTTTGATCTCCTGACCTCATGATCCGCCTGCCTTGGCCTCCCAAAGTGCTGGGATTACAGGCATGAGCCATTGTGCCCAGTGGCTCAGTGAATATTAATCATTAATTGAGCCAGGTAATAGAAGAAGTCTGGAGGATTATGAATTTGGTTTTAGACATCCAACAGTTTGAGGTGTCTGTAGGACAGCTAGGTGAAGACAACTGCTAGGTAGTTGAAAACTGACTTGGGCAACATCAGTGGAAAGGGATGGGTATATGTGAGATCACCAAGGAGCAAATGCTGCAGTGAAATCAAGCACAAAGGGGAAAAGAAGAGACTGGTTTGGGCAGAAAACCAGTCACTGGCAATCTTTGTAGGAATTTCAGGAGAGTGGTACAAATAGAAGCTGGATTGCATGGAATTGAAAAGTAAAGCAATAGATCCAGACTTCTATTCCAAGAAAATAGGTGGAGAAGCACAAGAACACACAATGGAGAGATACATTTGGGGGTTAGGACAGAATGCTTTCTGAAAGAGAATATGAAGACATAGCAGAAGTAAGTGATGGAGCAAGAGGAGGAGGAAGAGGAAGGAATTCATAGCAACAAAAATGTGCTTATTTCTCAGAAAATTTCAAGTTTTCCAGTCTCAGCCATGTAATTCTTAGGCCTGTGCTTAGAGCGGATATATCATTCAGGAGTTCTTTCCATTCTGGCCAATTATAATGACCCCAATTCTAAGGGGCTGAAGAATTACATGATAGCACTGTAGTGCATTGCAATTCCAGTGAGAGGTTAACGTGTGACTCAATGAATAACTCAGCTTGCTGACACATTTATGGACAATGAGCCCTCTGGGCATTTCAGGAAAAATCATAGATCTACAGAAAAGTTCCTTAGAGGTCATCTGGTCTAATGTCCTGGATTTACACAAGAGGAAACTGTAAAACCAAAGAGTATGGCGTGCATACTCACATGCCATTTAGTGGCAGTCTCCATCATAATGATCATAATCCAGGTTTTATGGTCTCATCCAGGACATTTGTCCTCACATTTCTTTGGTTAAAGAATTAAAATAAGAGGCCAGACACAGTGGCTCACACCTGTAATCCCAGCACTTTGGGAAGCTGAACAGGGCATATCACTTGAAGTCAGGAGTTCAAGACCAGCCTAACCAACAGGATGAAACCCCGTCTCTACTAAAAATAAAAAAAAGTAGTCATGCATGGTGTTGTGTATTTGTAGTCCCAGCTATCAGAAGGTTGAGGCAGGAGAATCACTTGAACCTGGGAGGCAGAGGTTGTAGTGAGCTGAGATCATGCCACTACACTCCAGCCTGGGTAACAGAGCAAGACTACATCTTTATGGGAAAAAAAAAAAAAGGAATTAAAATAAGAAAAGCTTTATTTAAGACTGACTTATCAGTGCCGGGCGCGGTGGCTCACGCCTGTAATCCCAGCACTTTGGGAGGCTGAGGCAGGTGGATCACGAGGTCAAGAGATCGAGACCATCCTGGTCAACACGGTGAAACTCCGTCTCTACTAAAAATACAAAAAATTAGCTGGGCATGGTGGCATGTGCCTGTAATCCCAGCTACTCAGGAGGCTGAGGCAGGAGAACTGCCTGAACCCAGGAGGCGGAGGTTGCGGTGAGCCGCGATCGCGCCATTGCACTCCAGCCTGGGTAACAAGAGCGAACCTCCGTCTCAAAAAAAAAAAAAAGATTGGCCTATCAGCAGACCAAAATCTGAAGCATTAAGTATTCTGATTACTTTTTTTTTTTTTAGAAGCAGGTCTTCGTGGCAGAATGCATTTAGATTCCTATCAAGTACAGTTTTCTGTGCTTTCGCTCAACTCTGTCATTATTACATCATCATTAATATGTATTGAGTTCTAATGTTTCGTAATCAAAATTTAAATATTATGTGTTAGTTCTCATGCCATTGTAAGGACATACCTGAGACTGGGTAATTTATAAAGGAAAGAGGCTTAATTGACTCAGTTCCACAGAGTTGAGGAGGCCTCAGGAAACTTAACAATCATGGCAGAAGGGTGAGCAAACATGTCCTCCTTCATATGGTGGCAGTAAGGAGACATGCAGAGTGAAGGCAGTGTTGGGGGAAGCTCCTTAAAACCATCAGATCTTGTGAGAACTCACTCACTATCACAAGAATAGCAAGGAGGTAACCATCTCCATGATTCAACTACCTTGTACTGGGTCCCTCCCATGACATATGGGGATTATGGGAACTATAGTTCAAGATGAGATTTGGGTGGGGACACAGCCAGATGGTATCATATTATATCTGAGCTATGTAAAAACATATACTCTTGATTTCATATAATTAATCTAAAAATAGAAGAGGGGGCAGAAGGACACTCAAATTTGCTAGTTAAAGGTTGATATAAATGTTATACCTCCTCAATAGTTTTTTCTCTATAATCTTTTTCCTGCTCTTGCAAACATTCCTCACTTTAAGACTGGGAGATGCTTTTTGCCTCAGGGAAAAGAAAGTGAAGAACTAGCTTTAGGTTAATGAAGAAGAAAACATTTCTGTTTTTTTTTTTTAAAGATGGGGTTTCACCATGATGGCCAGGCTGGTCTTGAACTCCTGACCTCAGGTGATCCATCCACCTTGGCCTCCCAAAGTACTAGGATTACAGACGTGAGCCACCGTGAAAACATTTCTAAAGGGACGTCAACCCAGAGGGAAAACTTCCTCTGATCTAGTGGTGCAGGGTATGGAAGATGTGGAGAAAGAGATTAGACATCAAGACCCTAGTTTTACACATAGCTCCTTTTTCCTGTGGAAACTCAAGGGGTTATAAGTGGTAGGATTTATCCAGCTTGGTTTAGGCAGACAGTAAGTGAAGGGTCCCTAGAGAACCTCTGACCTGCCCCTCAAGTGCTTACACCAGATGTTTTGTGCAGATAAGGGAACTTGCATAGGGGGCTTGCCTAAACATGACTGAAGTGGAAAATTCCGTTGCTTAACACATGCACAATAAGGGAAATAAATCAATACGGAGCTGGCAGTCCAAGGGCCTGCATGAGCACTGGAAGGACAGGGTGGAGCCACCAGAAATTCATGCCTTAAGCCCTAGTATTCAACTGTGAAGGGGGAAACCAGTAACCTGCTTTCAGTTCCCCTCTTTTAGTTGAGAGCTTTCATTTAATTAATTCGACTTCACTGACTCTCCAAGTGTCTGCATACCTAATTCTTCCTGGTCGAGAGATGAGAACCCACACCTAGCTGTGCTAAGGAGTAAAAAATCCTGCATCAGTAGCTGACTAGAAAAGGGAAACCCCAGTTTGTATTGAGGAGAGAAAACACACGTAAAGGGAGATTTAGCCTGACTTCTTGTTTTGAAATGGAGAGAACACCACTGCTGAGTGCATATAGGGCTACTGTGATGTCACGGCAGCCTAACTAGACAGTGCAGACCTCCCTTGATATCTTAGACAAGAGTCAAATGTCTCCTCTTCAGCATTGCTTTTGGGGAAGTGGAAAGTAATTGAGTGTGACCTGCCATGGGGTCATCATGAGGAAGTAGGTAGACAGGGACCTGATAACCTCTGCCACATGTCTGAGGGAGACAGTGGACGAGTCTTGAAGGGATGCAAAGGTGAGGTCAAGTCATATTTGTAGATCAATGGGTCATAACACAACTGATACGGTTTGGCTATATCTTCGCCCAAATCTCACCTTGAATTGTAATAATCTCCATGTGTCAAGGTCAGGGACAGGTGAAGATAATAGAATCATAGGATGCTTTCCCCTATACTGTTCTTGTGGTAATGAATAAGTCTCTCGAGATCTCATGGTTTTATAAAGGGCAGTTCCGCTGCAAGAGCCCTCTTGCCTGTCACCATGTAAGACATGCCTTTGCTTCTCATTCGCCTTCCACCATGTTTATGAGGCCTCTCCAGCCTCATGGAACTGAGTCAACTAAACCTCTTTCCTTTATAAATTACCCAGTGTCAGGTACATCTTTATTAGCGGTGTGAGAATAGATGAATATACACCAACCAAGAAGACTGACCAGTAGTCATACCCCACACCCCAGCAGCAAATGTCCCCAGTGTCCCAGTGGAGGAGTATATCAATATGAAGCTGAGCAAAACCCTTGAGACCCACAAGGATTCCAAAGCCTATGGAGAGACTGATTTATGGATAAAAGGGCTCCCTCTTCCTGCCAAGAGGGCACATAGCTTACCCATGAAACCCTGACACCTTGAAAAGTAAGAGCAAGAAGGAAAAAATGGCTCTGATGTGGAGTTAAATATTAGATTATTTAATATTTACCCAGCAAGAGATAGTCTTAACCATCTTGCAAAGACTAAGGGACACTTATTTGACAAGTATAACTCCTGTGGCATCCTACTTTTCTGCTTCCCTCCTCCTCCCAACCAAATGGGGTGGAGTTTAGTGAGAATGTTTAGATAATTATAAACAAAGACAAAGGAGTAACCATTGTGGCATATGTAAGTTGTGGTATTTAAATTTTTTTTAATAGAGTTTTGCTTTTGTTGTCCAGGCTAAAGTGCAATGGCGCAATCTCAGCGCACTGCAACCTCTGCCTCCCAGGTTCAAGCCATTCTCCTGACTCAGCCGCCCAAGTAGCTATGACTATAGGTGCACACCACCATACTCAGCTCATTTTTGTATTTTTGGTAGAGGCAGGATTTCACCATTTTGTCTAGATTGGTCTTGAACTCCTGACCTCAGGTGATCTGCCTGCCTTGGCCTCCGAAAGTGCTGAGATTACAGGCATGAGCCACCACGCCCAGCAGTATTTAAATTTTTAACTTTATGCCAGGCGTGGCGACTAACCCCTATAATCCCAGCATTTTGGGAGACTGAGGCAAGCGGATCACTTGAAGCCAGGAGTTCGAGACCAGCCTGGCCAACACAGCAAAACCTGTCTGTACTAAAAATACAAAAAAAAAAAAAAAAAAAAATTGGCCAGGCATGGTGGTTCACGCCTATAATCCCAGCACTTTGGGAGGATGAAGCAGGTGGATCACTTGAGGTCAGGAGTTTGAAAGCATCCTGACCAATATGGTTAAATCTCGTCTCTCCTAAAAATACAAAAAATAATCACTGATTGAGGTTTTGTACACCACCTTAAACTTTTTTTTTTTTTTTTGAGACGGAGTTTCGCTCTTGCTACCCAGGCTGGAGTGCAATGGCGCGATCTCGGCTCACCGCAATCTCCGCCTCCTGGGTTCAGGCAATTCTCCTGCCTCAGCCTCCCGAGCAGCTGGGATTACAGACACGCACCACCGTGCCCAGCTAATTTTTTGTAATTTTAGTAGAGACAGGGTTTCACCATGTTGACCTCATGATCCACCCGCCTCGGCCTCCCAAAGTGCTGGGATTACAGGCTTGAGCCACCGCGCCCGGCCCACCACCAGAAACTTTTATGTTGCCGAAATTCCAAACATCATTCATTCATTGGACAAATATTTTTGAGTACTTACTATGTGTCAGTCCCTGGGCTTAGCGATAGGCGTATAATGGTTAATAAACTGCACTTGACAAAATTAGAGTGGTTACCCAAAAGGAAATTATGATCTCTTGCCCTGTTGTTGAACCTAAGTCAATTTTCAGACCTGGTACCGGCGAACTGAAGAGGTGGCCAGGTCACCACAAGGAAGAACATCATCTTGAGTATATTCTGTAATGATTCTCAGTCCTTTATTAAAAAGACCAGTAGTCATTCACTGAGGTGGCTGGGTACTTGGGAAAGAGGAATACCCAGAGGCGTTCAAAGGCCATTCAACACAGTCTGAGTTAACACTGAGATTCGGAGTCCTGAAGCATTATCGTGTGTTGTTTGTCTTTGACTTTTAGTGTTTAATTTAATAATAGGTGCATCACATGCTTTGCATATATGAGTTTCAAACATTTTTTCAGAGCTGTGTATGGTAACTCATGCCTATAAGCCCAGCACTTTGGGAAGCCAAGAGGGGCAGATCACTTGAGCCCAAGAGTTCAAGACCAGCTTGGGTGACATGGTGAGACCTCATCTCTACAAAAAACAAAACAACAATAACAACAAACCCAGAAATTAGCCAGACATGGAGGCACATGCCTGCATTCCCAGCTATTTCAGAGGCTGAGGTGGGAGAATCACTCACTGGAGCCCAGAAGGCAGAGGTTGCAATAAGCTGAGATCAAACCACTGCGTCCCAGCTTGGGTGACAGAGTGAGACCCTGTCTCAAAACAAGCCACAAAAACAAAAACCAATTTTAAAAATAGAACCTAAGTTTATCATTCATCAAAAAAAAGTGTTAATTGGTTTTGGATTTTCTTTTTTTTTTTTTTTTCTTTTTTTTGCGACGAAGTCTTGCTGTGTCACCTACACTGGAGTGCGGTGGCATAATCTCAGCTCACTGCAACCTCTGCCTCTTGGGTTCAAGTGATTCTCCTGCCTCAGCTTCCTGAGTAGCTGGGATTACAGATGCATGCCACCATGCCCAGCTAATTTTTGTATTTTAGTAGAGACAGGGTTTCACAATGTTGACCAAGCTGGTCTTGAACTCCTGACCTCAGGTGATCTACCTGCCTTGAGTGCTGGGATTATAAGTGTAAGCCACCATGCCTGGCAAAATTTACATTTTTTTGGCTATGTTATTTCTAATAGATATAGATTTACTTCCAGTTTAAGAGAAAAAGACATTGTTTGTGCATGATCGAGTATGGTTTTTTTTTTTTTTTTTTTTTTTTTTTTTTTTTTGAGATGGAGTTTCGCTGTTGTTACCCAGACTGGAGTGCAATGGCACGATCTCGAATCACCGCAACCTCTGCCTTCTGGGTTCAAGCAATTCTCCTGCCTCAGCCTCCCGAGTAGCTGGAACTACAGGTATGCACCACCATGCCCAGCTAATTTTGTATTTTTAGTAGAGACAGGGTTTCACCTTGTTGACCAGGATGGTCTCGATCTCTTGACCTCGTGATCCACCCGCCTCGGCCTCCCAAAGTGCTGGGATTATAGGCATGAGCCACTGCGCCCAGACGATCGAGTATGTTTTAAAGATTCACTTACTGCCTTCATCTAATAACCTGGTTTTTCATAAAATCCTGACATGTTCATTGGAAATTTTTTTCACATAACTAATTATTTGTTTTCATTTTCAGAAAATTTATAAGGGATCAATCCAAAGTTCAGAATGATCTTATTTTTTAAAACAAAGTTTCTCCAAAATAAATTAGCTTTCAGAAACTAAAATTTACTATCCCTTGAAACAAAGCAAAAAAATCCCAAAAAGGATTATCATATACATGAAACCAAATACATAGATCAACACTCATAGGCAGGTTAGTCTAAATTTTTATTCTGCTGACTGGTGAATTCTATTTAAAAAATTAGTTTTTGAGGCTGGGTTTGGTGGCTCATGCCTGTAATCCAAGCACTTTGGAGGCCAAAGCACTTTGAAGGCGGATCATCTGAGGTCGGGAGTTCAAGACCTGCCTGACCAACTTGGTGAAACCCCGTCTTTTTTTTTTTTTTTTTTTCTGAGATGGAGTTTTGCTGTTGTTACACATACTGGAGTGCAATGGCAGGATCTCAGCTCACCGCAACCTCCACCTCCTGGGTTCAAGCAATTCTCCTGCCTCAGCCTCCGGAGTAGCTGGGACTACAGGCGCACACCCCCATGCCCGGCTAATTTTTGTATTTTTAGTAGATACGGGGTTTCACCTTGGTGACGAGGATGGTCTCGATCTCTTGACCTCGTAATCCACCCGCCTCAGCCTCCCAAAGTGCTGGGATGCTGGGATTATAGGCGTGAGCTACCGCGCCTGGCCGAAACCCCATCTTTAAAAAAAAAAAAAAAAAGAGTTTTTGGCTGGGCGCTGTGACTCACACCTATAATTCTAGCACTTTGGAGGTCGAGGTGGGCAGATTGCCTGAGCTCAGTAGTTTGTGACCAGCCTGGGCAACACAGTGAAACCTCATTTCTAGTAAAACACAAAAAATTAGCTGGGTGTGGCAGTGTGTGCCTGTAGTCCCAGCTACTCGAGAGGTTGAGGCAGGAGAATTGCTTGAACCCGGGAGGCAGAGGTTGCAGTGAGCTAAGATCACACCACTGCACTCTAGCCTGGGCAGCAAACAGAGCAAGACTCCATCTTAAAAAAAAGGAAAAGAGTTTTTTATATCAAGCCACTTTCTCAGATTTTAAAACAAACCAAAAACATGTGAATTGTCAAATACAAAAAGGTAAATTTGTAGGTATAAATTAATAAACCCACAAAACTGGAGTACTTCAAAGGTCAAGGGTTCTGTGGAGGGTATAACATGAAAGGAACTTCACAACTGAAAGAAATCATTGCCGAGTTTCCTCCATGCAACACTGAAAGTAATGGAGACAAAAAAAAAAAAAAAAAAAAACAAACAGAAAGTAACGGAGAACGCTTCTCTTGAACATCTTACACATTAAAAAAATAAATAAATATTTAAGAGCTACAAAGCTCAGATTGGTTTTCATACACATTGCACTTAGGTTTAAGATCTAATACTTGTGGCCGGGTATGGTGGCTCACCCCTGTAATCCCAGCACTTTGGGAGGCAGAGACGGGCGGATCATGAGGTCAGGAGCATCCTGGCTAACACGGTGAAACCCCGTCTCTATTAAAACTTAAAAAAAAAAATCCAATACTTGCAAATTAGGTCTAGTATGGTCTATGCCATAAATTGTACTCATCAATATAATGGAATATTTAGAAACACCACATTTAATGCAGTGACATACGCACTTTCCTTTTTACAAGGCAATCACAGATTGCAAATTCCATAGGGCCATGGAAAAAAACAGTCATCTCCATTCTCAAGTAACAAAGAAACAAACCACTTTGGCTCACTAAGATTGAAATACATGGCAGACAGGTATTCATTCTTAGATGATTATGGATTTAGAAATAAACTTCATAAGCTGAGGTGAAAATTCCAGTACATCAAAGTGTAGAGCCACGACTTTTCATTGCCTTTTGCTCAGTAAGATTGTCTACACAAACTTCCATGGGTGGAATAAAAAGCACAGTTGACTCAGTGGTGATACACACATGTGTGACTGTTAGCACATCACTGCAGCATGAACGCAAGACACCATGAAGTGTGGCACACTGTGACCCTACAGAGAATGTGACCTTTCTATACTCACTGCTGCTGCTCCCCTCCTCCCCTGTCTTCTTTTTCTTCTCAAACTTGTTTCTTTTCTTTTTTTTTGAGACAGTTTCACTCTTGTTGCATGGGCTGGAGTGCAATGGTGCAACCTCAGCTCACTGCAACCTCTACCTCCTGGGTTCAAGTGATTCTCCTGCCTCAGCTTCCCGAGTAGCTGGGATTACAGGTACCTGCTACCATGCCCAGCTAATTTTTGTATTTTTAGTAGAGACAAGGTTTCACCATGTTGGTCAGGCTGATCTCGAACTCCTAACCTCAGGCGATCCACCTGCCTCAGCCTCCCAAAGTGCTAGGATTACAGGCATGAGTTACCGCGCCCGGCCACACAAACTTACTAAAAATCTTTTGGATAAGTATTATTCCTATTATGCCATACTTAATCTTGTTAAGCACCATCTACCTTTCTCCTTTGGGCACTGATAGTTTTTAATTAAGTCTTAGTTCAAGGCTTTGAAATATGACATCTTGTTTTAATAATGAATGAAATCTAATACTCAGGAAACTGCCACTGCCTGAACCGACACAGCCTGAGCAGAATGTTCCAGGGCACAGAGAGACACCAGCACAGCCAGTCAAGGTACGACTTCAAGGTAAGTCATTTTCTCCGCTTCACTGTTGATTTTTTCCATGAGTCATTTGTACAGTCAGCCCAATCTAAACAGATTATTTAACAAAAAAGATAATCTTTGTCATAATCCACGATCAGATTTTCTTCCCAAATCTTACTTGCTCTTCAGAATAGGTGGTATGGAAGACTCAATCACTATGTGGCTTTTCAGGAACACCCATAGCTAACTGTCGTCTTATGTTTCCCACTGATGTCCTTGAGAAATGTCATACATGGGAGCCAAGAACGAACATAGAGGAAATCTGGGGATGTGTACTCATAGACACCACTAAACACAGAAACTGAGTGATCAGAGTAGCTAAAAAGGCTATGGGGATCCCAAGCCCGAGGCCGCCTCCTGAACCATCAAATATCCACAAAAAGCCTAAAGACAGGGCTATTAAAGTTAAGGACAGCTGGACACCATTGGCAAAATCCAATTTGGCACTGGCATGGTTAATGCCAAAAAAAGCTGCCATGCCGTGCATGACACTGGCCCATTCTCTTGAATTTGTGGGGTTCTTTGAGGTGACTGTTGATACAAGGGTACAGTAAACCAATAGCAGCAGCTACTGTCCCACAGCAGGGAGGGACCTACCAGGCAGAGAAAAAGATGGTGGCAATCACCTCCTTGGGGAATAGGGTAACATTCCTCTGGATCTACAGCAGGTTGAGCACCAGGGCTAGGACTGCCCCTACTGAGAAGGGCACGAGGCTCCTCTGTACCAGGCGATGATGCCAGGTGTTGGTGTGGGGGCCTACAGGCCTGGGGCCACTCATTGCAGCATTGTGGCCCTCGGGTGCAGGGTCAGTATCTAGGGTCCCATAGGAGGCCAGCAGGGAGGGCCCAGACAGGGAGGTGTTGATCATATCCCCAACCTTGGCCTGGGCTCACAGGGGACCTCGGCATCTCACGCACATCAGCTCCAGAAGTGGTTGTGCAATCTGGGCATCCATCGCCCCCAGTGTGTCTTATATGGAGGGCCTGAAATCATGCTTTTGAAACAGTCGTGATTAGATGGAAAATACTAAGGATAGAACATTGAGAAAAATGGTAAATTGCAAAATTCAAGAAATTCACAAAAGAAAAATGTAAATGTCTTATAAATGTTTTAAAATTTAGCCCAAAGAGATTATTTAATTTATTTAAACTGCTGTAAGGAAGGTCTCAGCAGTTCCCTAAAACCCTTAAAAGTGAGTTAAGGCTAATACAGGGAAGAGTAAGTAGCAAGGACATGTAAGAAATGAGACTGTCCCATGGGAACATTCCAATATAATCACTGCAATCCATTAGCAAAGTAGACTTTGGGTCAGGGTCAAGGTGGAAGAATGAAATCTGAGAATTCCACACTCGGCAGGGATTCTCAAAGGGATCTAAGACCATATAACATTTTTAGCAACTCTTGTTTTCAGCACAAGAAAACAATTAAATCTTCTGGGGCGAAGGATGGGGTGGAAATATTTGTATCTTATATAGTTACCAAAGGTCATTCAGACTGACTACTTGTATATATATATTACATACACATATATAAAGAAAAAACTTTTAAAACAATCAGAAAGATCACCTACAACTGGACTACTGACTTTTCAAAAGCAAACGTATGCTAGAAGAGTATGGAATAAGATCTTCAAATATCTTCGAAGACTTTAGAGAAAACTATCTTTTGAAAGTGAAGGCAAAACCAAGTTATTTTAGATAAGCAGAAATTGAGAATGTTTATCACAGATAGCTTTCTCACAGTAATCAGGGCAGTGTGGTATTGGTATGAGGTTCCATAGAACATAAATAGATTGATACATATAAGATTAGTTGATTTTCAAAATGGTGCCAAGCAACTCAACAGAAAAAGGAAAACTTTTCCAATAATAAATGCTGGATTGCCTAGCACAGCGCCTCACATCTGTAATTCCGCGCTTTGTGAGGCTGTGGTGGAAGGAGCACTTGAGGCCAGGAGTTCAAGATCAGCCTGAGCAATATAGCAAGGCCCTGTCTTGGGCTGGGTGTGGTGGCTCACACCTGTAATCCCAGCACTTTGGGAGGCCAAGGTGGGCAGATCACTTGAGGCTGGGAGTTTGAGACCAGCCTGGCCAACATGGTAAACCCTGTCTTTACTAAAAATATAAAACTTACCTGGGCATGGTGGAACATGCCTGTAATCCCAGCTACTTAGGAGGCTGAAGTCTGAGAATTGCTTGAACCTGGGAGGTGGAGGTTGCAGTGAGCAAAGATTATGTCACTGCATTCCAGCTGTGACAGAACAAGACTCTGTCTCAAAAAAAAAAAAAAAAAAGGTAATGAAAAGACAAGCCATAAGTGAGAAGTAATATTTACAAAAAACATATATGACAAAGGACCTACATTCAGAATATATAAAGAACTCTCAGAAATCAATAATAAGAAATGACCAATAAAAAATTGTGACAGGATTTCAACAGACACTGTACTAAAGAAATTGTGCAGGTGACAAATATGCACATTAAGAGATGCTCAACCGCATTAGTCTATAAGGAAATGCAGAGCGAAACTACAGTGGGATGTCACTATGTACTCAGTAATATATCAAACCGACAGAGATGAAAGAACTGGAACTCCTTTACATACCTGATTGGAATGCAATGGTATAGACATTTTGGAAAAAAACGTTTGGCAACATCACATTAAGTTAAACATACAGTTACCATATAATCCAGTTATTGCACTCTTTATTATTGTTATTAAGACAGAGTCTCACTCTGTTGCCCATGCTGGAGTGCAGTGGCAGGATCTCGGCTCACTGCAACCTTCATCTTCTGGGTTCAAGTGATTCTCCTGCCTCAGCCTCCTGAGTAGCTCAGACTACAGGCACCCACCACTATGCCCAGCTAATTTTTGTATTTTTAGTAGAGATAGGATTTCACCATGTTGGCCAGGCTGGTCTCAAACTCCTGACCTCAAATAATCCATTCACATAGGCCTCCCAAAGTGCTGGGACTACGGGCATGAGCCACCGCACCCGGCCTACTCTTTATTGCTTACCCAAAGAAAAAAGAATATGTCCACACAGAGATGTATATATGAATGTTTATAGCAGCTTTATTTACAATAGCCATAAACTGGAAACAACTCAGATGTTCACCAGCTCAAAGTGTAGTACTGAGGTAAGGGGTAGGACTTGACCCCAGAGTCAGGGCTCAGACACTGGACCAAATTGAGGACTAACTAAAACCGGGATGGCATGGAAGCAGCTTTCCACAAGATATACCCACCAGTGCACCATGTCAGTTTACCATTGCCATGGCAACACCTGGAAGTTACCACCCCTTTCCATGGCAACAACCTGATGACCCAGAAGTTACTCTCCTTTTCCTAGAAATTTCTGCATAATCTGCCCCTTAATTTGCATGTAATTAAAGGTGGATATAAATTCATGCCTCTGAGCTGTTACTCTGAGCACACTGCCAACAGGGAGGCCCTGCTCTGCAAGAAGCAGTACCTCTGCTGCTGCTGTGCACTGCCACTTCAATAAAAGTTACCCTTTAAACCTACCAGCTCACCCTTGAATTCTTTCCTGGGTAAGCCCAAGAATCCTCCCAGGCTCAGCCCCAATTTTGGGGCTTGTCTGCCCCTGCATCAGTACGACCAGACCCTGGAAACTACTCAGTGGTAAAGATTAAATAACTACTGATACATGAAACAACATAGATGTATCGTAAAAGCATTATGCTAAGACAGGCACAAAAATGTATTCCCAGCCGGACACGGTGGCTCACACCTGTAATCCCAGCACTTTGGGAGGCCAAGATGGGCAGATCACCTGAGGTCAGGAGTTTGAGACCAGCCTGGCCATCATAGTGAAACCTCATCTCTACTAAAAATATAAAAATTAGCCAGGCATAGTGGCAGGCGCCTGTAATCCCAGCTACTTGGGAGTCTGAGGCAGGATAATTGCTTGAACCCGGGAGGCGGAGGTTGCAGTGAGCCAGATAGCGCCACTGCACTCCAGTCTGGGCAACAGAGTGAGACTCCATCTCAAAAAAAAAAAAAAAAAAAAAGGCTATTCACTGTATGGTTTCATTTATGTAACATTCTAGAGAAGATAAGACTATAGGTACAAAAAATTGATTTCCAGAGACTGAGGGCAAAAAGAGATTTAGCTCAAAGGGACACAAGTGAGTTTTTTCGGGGGGACTGGTGGAATAGTTTTCCTATCTTGATTGTAGGGGTTACACAACTGTATACCTTTGTCAGAGTCATTGCATTTTAAAAGGATGAATTTTACTCTATGTAAATAATACCTCAATAAACCTGACTTTTAAACAAGGATGAAAAAATATCCTTACCATTGGCTTAATTCAAAATCATTAAACATATGAAAGCAACAGACTGATTAACTTTTAGGGTTGGGAGGGGCTGGAAGTCTGTGAAACTGCTACACTCATACATTCTATAGATGAAGAGGTGGAGGGAAAAAAGTTGTTTCATCTCAGTAGTGAATAGGGAAAGGTAACTTACAACACAATGGAGGTTTCTCAGTTTCATCAAGTTCCCATCTCAGGGCCTTTGCACTTCCTGCCTGAAATGATCTTTCTCCCCAGGGTTTCAGGTGGCTCCCCCTCACTTCATTCACAGGTGCTAAAAAGTCACTTCCTCAGAGACCCTCCTGGTGACACTATCTAACCTTTCATTTCATTACTCTCTACTTCCTTATTCTGCTTTAGTTTTCATCACACTTATCATCTAACACTATATTGTATATTAATTTACCCATTTCTCCCAGCACTTTGGGAGGCCGAGGCAGGTGGATCACGAGGTCAAGAGATCGAGACCATCCTGGTCAACAAGGTGAAACCCCGTCTCTACTAAAAATACAAAAATTAGCTGGGCATGGTGGTGTGCGCCTGTAGTCCCAGCTACTCCGGAGGCTGAGGCAGGAGAATTGCTTGAACCCAGAAGGCGGAGGTTGCAGTGAGCCGAGATGGTGCCATTGCACTCCAGTCTGG